TTCGCTCTCTCAAAAATAAAATTAAATAGACAAAAGAAACGCCGATTAAAAAATGTATATCGTTTAAAAGTTCAGTTGTACGTTGAATGACACAGTGATATAAAAGTACGGCCCAGGGGTATGGCTTCCTCTCATATTTTTGCATTTGGTGGCGCACTTTCGGCGAGAGTCGGAAATCCGGAAACAGTCGACTGTTTCAGGATAGGTGGGCGTGGCTACAGCACAGAAAATATCTCAAATTTACTTAGATACGAGTAATCATTTTCAGCAAATAAATCAATAATTGCCCATTTCAGTGGGGCACAGATCTAAAATGGGAAGCGTGTGGGTGGGCATTGCACAGGCACTTTAAGGTTCTTCCAGAAAATAATTTAACAAAACTAGCATTTCAAAAACAGATGAGGTCAAACTTATCATGGGGTTTTTCAATTCAGAAATTAAAAAAATCTGTAATGGGAGACAATTAAACACAGGATTACAATTGTGATAAAAAAAGATTACATTGAATTCTGGAAAGAATGCCTTAAAGAAACAAGCTATGCATGGCACAGTCCCTGTTAGTTATCGAATTTAAGATATATAGTTTTGTTTATAGTAATATAGTTAGAATATAAACATGTCAGGAATATGACTATAATTTTTTAACATTAAAATGGTTGACATCTTGTATCTGATCATCAAACGAGTACTTGTCCATATTGAGATATTGCTCTGGAACAGCATTAATTAAAACAAAATCAAACATTTTGAATACATCTATATATATCTATAACATAATGTATAATGAATATATGAAATTTGAACATAATCAGTCAAAGCATGTCAGAGATATGGCTCTAGAAGCGCATTCTTTAAAACAAACATTTTGAATCTGATCTGAAAAACAAAATGACGTGCATCAGGAACCTATAACGTCCAGCGTATGTACCAAGTTTGAATAAAATCCATCCATAAATTCTTGATTTTGATAATTTGTCAGCACAAAAATGGCCGTCATTTGTCCATTTTGAATCAGATAGTCAAACCAATACACCTGTATATCTATGTCATGATGTATAATAAATATATCAAATAATCAGTCAAAGCATGTCAGAGATATGCATTCATTAAAACAAAATGGTCACCAGTTGGACATTTTAAATTTGATCTGACAAATAAAATGATGTGCATCAGGTCCCCTGGTTGTCTAATGTACATGGTACATGTACATGTACATGTATGTACCAAGTTTGAACATAATCCATCCATAAATGCTTGATGTTTAATGATTTTTTAGCACAAAAATAGCCACCATTCGGCCATTTTGAATTGATGTGCATATGTAAAATATTATGTATAATGTATGTGTGAAGTTTGAATGTAATTGGTCCAGGCATGCACACATGCACAGACACACGAACACAAAGAGGTAAATCCATAAGTCCCCGTTTACGGACTGTGTCCGAACAGGGACTGAAAACGAAGCTTAGTACATATCGGTATATATAATGCTTAAAGACACTCATGAATAATATTTATCTGTACTTAGATATTCATATTTTTATAATAGATAATAAACAAATATATATTTCAGATGAGCAATAATAATCAAAATATAATTAAACAAGTAGGGAAGTATATTTACAGATCATTTGAAATCAAAAATGAAAATTCCTTATAAACTCATTACTAGGTACATTTTGTACTTTCATTTATTATTACTTTATTATTAACTAACTAAACTTTCTTTAATACTTTATTGCTGTAGACTGATAGTAAGATTGTATTTCTTAGAAAGCAATAAAGATTATTATTATAAAGGACAAACAAATAACCTTGACTTTGTTTATATTCTATTATCTTATGACTGATATTAATATTTAATAATTATTATTACTCCCACACATTTGCAGTTGCATTTATGTAGGTACCTGTGACAACAGAATAAGGGTAACCAGGCAATTCAAACTTCATAATCTAACATTAAATTGAGCAACACGCTTTTTTCTTCTCCTTTTTTTCTTGCAATTCTCAAAGACAGACATAACAGGAAGTCAGTAGAAAACAAATGATTTTTTCATCAGCATAGGCAGGGGGGAAAAAAGAGGTGTTAATCTCAAATTTCATCGTCTATTCTTGTTTGCAATTGGTCCAGAAAATGTTTGGTGGATCTGACATAGCTTCGTTATTGAGAATAAATGATTTATACAAAACTGTATGTATCAGAGAGCACGCCACGATGTCAGGTGGTAAAATTAATTTAAGAGTCTGAAATCCTGTAAATAAATCAAGTTTTTATTGTACTAAAAACACAGTTTAATAAAAATTTAGTGGAAAGTTATTTTAAAGTCAATAGACAATAAATTGGAACTTGAAGCGTTCCCCAGAATGGTGTCGTAGTCCCACTACCATGTGTGCAGAAATGTCACTGTATACAAACAGGGAGCCTCATTGTGAATTGCAATAAATAATAATAATAATAATACAGTTTTATTACATGGTAATGAAATTACAAATTCATTTTTGGCTGAAAGTAATAAAAGTTAAGGTAAAAAGGTAAGTAAAAAACAGAACGTTAAAATAACATAAGATTAGGTAGTAAAAAATAAAAGTTTGTGTTTTTCAAAACACACTTTCAGATACACATGTCTAATTACCGGTAGTTTAGGATGGTTAGTATCAATAATGATAATAAACTTGTTGATATTGATTTCAGACTGGAAAGTGGGGATTTCCTTGGTAAATTCAGTGTACATAATATCCCTTTCATCAGTGTAATAGCTACAGTCGGTAATAAAATGAACTTCGTCTTCAATACTGTCACTCCTACACTGATCACAAATGCTGTTCTCTAGTGGGATTTTAGGTCTCTTATGTCTGCCTACTTCTATTTTGAGTTTGTGACAACTAAGTCTCAATTGAAACAGTAATTTAATATCTTGTCTATTATTTAACAGTTGTAGGTATTTAGCTGGACTAAATACTTTTAAGTAGACTGTAAGATCAGAGTTTGGCATCTGGTCTCTTGATATTATTAATCCACATGTTAGTATAATGGTTTTTAGTTTTCTGGTAGAGTACATTACTAGAAACAGTCAGAAGATCAATATTATACAGGTCTTTAATTTTGTTAACGTCTTCCAACCATGATTCGTTATAGCAGTTGTTTTCAAGTTCTTTAACTGCATGGAAAGTAAAATTAATTGGACCATTGTTTTTAATATTTTGGTAGTATATACATGACAGCTTCAATTTGAATCTTTGAAATTAAAGGTAGCCTGCCAGTTTCAAGCCTACAGCCTATTGTACTACTTCTATTATTAATATTCAAAATGTGCCTGCAATATTCTAGGTAACATTTTTCAGTAACAGTGGTGTCCCACTTTTCTGTCCTAACCGATATACCTCATAACTCAGATGCACATAGTAAAATAGGTAGTTGTAACATTTCAAAAAGTTTAAAGTTGTTGAAATTGTTATCAAAAATATTAGCCATCAGTCGTTCTGATTGAGACAATAATTTAATAAGAATAATCAGTAAACATCAACTTAGAAATTCATTTTTTGTTATTAAAATATTTATTTTGTGCTCTAAATAAGTGACATCGCCGGTAACAAGCGTTTCACAGGTACTTCAAAAGCACATATACTTTGGCCTTTAATTTAGTGTTTCTCTACTGTCAATGTTTATACCTTAGGAGACTAAATTCTATGTTCAAGTATTTCATTTTTCATCAAGGCAGAGGAATTCAATATTTCAAAATACAGTAGATCAGCTTACCATGCTCCAGTCTCTGTTTGGCTGTCAATTGACTGACGCGCAACATCGCCAACACTAGCATTGTTGTTAGTCATTAAACAAAACAAATTAAAAATACACATTACCTCTGTCAGCCGCCATTTTGAAATATTGAACCCCTCAGCCTTGATGAAAAAAATGAAACGCTAGAACATATAAGATATCCTCTTAATAACAATACGAATAGTACAGCAGTAAACTATTAATAATAATTATTTAAAATATTATTTTCACTAGAAGTTACGTTCGTTATATTTTCAAATGAACTATTCGAATTTCTCTTTTTGAGAAATACCGTGAACATAGGGAGCATCCCTCGTCTTCCATTCGGCCATGCGTGTGTTTTGGTTTACGATTGCATGACGTTTGGTAACCAAAAGAAAAACGGAATAGAACTGCTATAAGGAATATCGTAGTTACAAATCTGCAGCGGTGAGTAGTATAAAACGATTGTCAAGCAATATGACTGTTTAATTACGGACACTTAATGTTTAGAGGGCGAATAGTATGTATAATACAATCTTGACCGAATCTGCGTGTTCTGTAAAAATCTAATTTGACCTTGACTCTCGTATGGGGGTCATGCAGCGTGCCTACATCGACGTCGAAAGGGAGCGGTGAAATAGTTGCCTACTTGCATCGATGAGAAACCGAAAAGTGAAGTACCTGCAATATCGACGTTGCACTATATGTAATTGCATACAATTTACAATTATTCACCTATGATCACACGATCTTTATAGTTAAAGGCCCAGGTATACTATAAATACGCTCTTAAACAATAGGAATTATTTCCTTGCTTGTCACATTGTAGTGAACAGCTCCAGCCAAGCTCCCGTAAAAACACGTTTTCTCGAACTTACAGGTCGATTATGTCGTGCCAAAGTGGATGCATGTGACTATGAATATCACAGCAGTGACTCTGTGTAGTATTTATGACAATAAATAGTGTACGAGCTGAGATTTTGGCGGATAAAAGTCAAAAACACGACCGAGGAAAGGGATGCGCTACTAATCTTGAATAACTAACTACTGTCAATCAAAGTCACATGATGTTGGACTGCTGAAACAGGATGCGTCATAGGTTATACAAGTGATTAACAACACTCATTAGCATAGCCACACCTCCAATGCACACTTGCCCGGGGCAAGTAAATTGGGCTTTTAACGCACAGTCACATGTTACAAGTCTTTTATTAACAATCGGAGGTCCGTACCTCCTCTACTACACCACAGTCCCTAAGGGAACTGTGACTACACATACATGTATACATGTAAATACACAAGTTAGGAAGCACAACTCCATATTTTCCAGTGGGTCACTTTTTTAACCTGGCGTTTTTGACTCCAAAAATAAGCGCAAATGCGAACTCAACCTACAGATGCAACGGTGATATTCTTGAAATTCGAAAATACATTGTACATGTACCTACTGAATTTCGATGAATTCATTCAAAAGTGTGAAAATCTCGCTCAAATCAGAGCGAACAGGTGCGACATCTGCGATTGTCCAACTTTCTCCCTACCTCTGACGTCAAAATCTTCCGCTACGAGATGCATGATTGGTCAGATGATGAGTTTGCGCACTGGTCATAGTAGGAGGGCAATGACCAGAAGAGCTTTAGCCAATCAGCGGAGTCTAGCTGTTTCTGTTCACATTCAAACACTGAAACAAGCTGCACACAGAACTTCACACTTCTTGAGTATAGGCTTATTTCAACATCATTTTCTTTCAACAAATGCACTGAACATAATATGTAGATACATGTATATGTATTTTTAATTCTAACAAAACACACGAAATACATAACAAAATCAAACAAAGTGATGTCGCTTCATGGCAAAGTCCACAACTTTCAGATTCTTTAGAGAGATGAAGTGCACAATCGCAGATCAAATGTCTCAAAGCGTATAGCCTCAGACCACTAAATAACAGACTAGTAACACGGCTTTTCCTTTGGTCAGATGCATGCCACGTTTGTTTTTGGGCTTAACTTTTTAATCCAATGAACAACCGATCGAACTAACTCGACTATAGCGTAATAACACGATATCCATTATTATTTCATCAAATCACGCGAGATACTGCGAGATGTACACAGGAAGTAGTATTAGTTGGGTCATACATATGTAGTTCATTCATTTTTCTAGTGTTTTTCTGCTTCACGGTGCTATCCATAAATGCAACAAAAAATAGACAATTTATTTCTATGTTTATTCTCCATGTTTCTGAAATTATAAAAGAACAAAGAATAGAGACAATTATAATTTATGCTCCATGAAAATACTACAGTACAGTTCTCGCGGAAGCTTTGGATTTTGTGGCATCATTGTCGCCTACGCATGGCCTCATTGTCGCCTCAGCATCGCATCATTGTGGCATCAGCTTCGCGTCATTGAAAATTGAAGCTGTGTTCGCCTCTCTTATTTTGTGGCATCATTGTGGCCTCAGCTTCGCAGTCTCATAGCATCAACATGGCATCAGCTTCAAAGTATTGTGACATGAGTATGACCTCATTATTTTCACATGGAAAGGCAGTAAAGAAACACATGTACAGAAGTTCAATATGTAATGGATTTGAAATTCAAAGCGGTAAGGGGAATAAAATAATATGACCAAGAGTAAAATGACATTTTAAAAATATATCTTGTTTAATTATTTAATGTTCGAGTATTGGGTCCCAAAAACTATGTGAAGTACATTGCAATCTGCAAGGTGACGAGTGTCATATTGACTGCAAGGAAAAACGTGATAAATTTAAATCTCACGATGCAATCGTCGTTCGGAAACAACACAATTTGATATACGAAATGAAACTGTTCTTGTTATAAAATTACCTTATTTCGTTCATTTTATTTGCTGGTAAGAGAACAGATTCAGATTCCTCATTTTGGTGGTATTTTTCTGTGTTTCGTTTAGTTTTAGCCGAATCCTATCCCATGCCCGGACTACTAATACATGCCAAACACGCGAACGCCGCCTGGTGCGTCGGCGTCGTCGCCTGCCATCTTGATACAAAGTTCCAAAACAAGTGCGTACATTTCCAACTATGATTGGATGGTTGTGGTGGCGTCGGTCTGGTAAAATTTTACATCCAATTTTCAAAATTAAGTCACGATCAAGTGACCTGAGCTGATCTATACGTACTTTAAAAGTATTCTCACAAAAAAATATTTTGAATAAAAACGAGCCACAGGCCTGGTAAAAAATCGAATAGCACTTGACATGCAGAAATAATTTATTGGGCTTCAGAAAAAAGTGTTCATTTAGTTGTAGCCGTAAATATTTGGTGACCAGTCGATGAACAATTTGAAACTCTATATACACGGAAGTCCTTCGATACTGAATATCATCGACCCCAATCTGGTTTACCTTATTTCCCAACTTGCAAAACTGATTTGTATCTCAGCCCAGTTTTCCTTTTTTTTTTTTTTTTGAACTGAGGTCAAATCCCAGACGTTTGTCAAAATATACCGATGTTTTTCAGTGAATGATTGTGAAGCCTGTCACAGCACAGTGAATCAACGCCGGAGATTGGACAGTACGACGACCCTTCAATTAGCGTCAAATATGCTTTGTTACAACATCATTGATTTGCTGAAAGTCACCTGATCGGAGCACGACCTGGGTCACAGAACCATATTTGTCCGTATTATCAACGGGACTTTGCGAGAGAACCACACCCACATTTTCAACCATTTTTAGCGCGGAAGTTGCCAACAAATGTCGAGAAACTTGTGAATTTTATGGATTTGAATAAAATAAAGCTAGCGATTGGTAAGAATGGTTAATAATATTTTTAATTTTATTTCAAGGCGAGAAATGGATAATTGAAGTTCCATCGATTTCAAGGCGACTGTTTCACCGCGACAACTCTAAGCTGTGTTGTAGTTTCACGAGGTAAAAAAATATATATAATAAATAGTACATGTTTAATTATTTGGTTTTACAGCCCGCAAATTACGGGACATGATCCCCCTGAATTACGATAAATAAATGCTGATTATGTTGAATAATAGACGTCGGGACCGTTTGGAGAAACCAACGGGGATCGATATTCCAAACAAATTATTGGGACACGGTCGGTAGACATTTCAAACAAATGAAATTATTAACGAAAGACGAGAATTTTCCAGATATTTACGAACATACTGTCACAACAAATATATGCAAAATTGACAAATACACAAAGAGATATTAGGTTTTATTTTAGCCTTAGAAATATTTTCTTTCACTCAGTCCATGGGTGGGACTTCTATTTAGCAGGGAAATAACAATAATTATACAAATCGTAAACTCAACACAGTCAGGAAAAGAAACCCTGACAACCATGTCGTACTTCTGTTGAAATACATTTTGTAGCAGTGCGTCACGTCAGAATATTGTTTAAAATAAAATAGTCAATCCCAGCCAAATCTAGGTCAAAGGGTCAGATTGCGTGCATATAATTATATAATTATAGATAGTTAAAACAAAAAGTATTTGAACTTTTGACGGTTGTTTAACATCTATGCACGGTTACTAAACTAGTAACCGTGATCTATGAAAACCAGAAAATTGTTAGTAGTCCAAATTTTTGCACAGTTGGAAATAAAGCGGAAATTCAACAAGCGGTCGCAAAAGCGAGCGATTGAAAAGCGGAAGCGGGCGAGAGGTTGGGCAAAAATGAGTTCTGTACTTCTTTGTTTGATGAAGCGATGCTGATGCTACACTGTCGCCATAATGAGGCCACAATGAAGCAAAGGGATAACCGCCTAACTTTTTAATGTCGCGACATTGAAGCGTTACTGAAGCCATAACAATGCCATAATGATGTGATGCTGAAGCGAAGGTGAAGCTGAAGTGAAGCCAAAGCTTCCGCAAGAACTGTACTGTAGCTTCCTACCGATTATTAAAACGCGGTGGTCGTCGCGCAGCACATGTTCGAATTTCATGTAAATAAACAATGTATTTTACATGCGTTGTATACGTCGCTATGAGTCTCATTACGAACAGGACGCGACACGGCGTGACGCCTTTCGCTCTTTAAATTACTTCAATCACTTAGTTGTGTGAGCATATCAAGTTTTCAAATGCAGTGTCCTCAAAAACTACGAATCAT